TGCTTTAAATTGTCCTTTGAGCCCTACCTGATCAAGTTTTCCAAAGTCTAATCTCATGTACTGTGTCACAGCTCTTTTCTGCTTAAAAATTTAGGAATTTCCTGCTGTTCAAAACCCTCACACTTCAACTCCCAGGCAGTTTTTCGGGCCCTCCCTCAAGTGCCCCCCCCCCCCCCCCCAGCCCTTTCCAATCTCATTTTGAACCAGGCTCTGATCTACAACCTCTAGGTTTAAACCCACTCTCAGGGTTGCTGTTCATACAAGTGTTGACACCTCCCAAGCCACATGCAGGTCTTGTCACCTCCTTGAAAGATGCTGGTCGCTGCCCCAGTGTGAGAATGGCTAGAAGAACCAATAAAATCAGGTCTGCTTCAGAAGGGTATGTTCATTTGGGCACACTCCTTTCTCAGGGCCTGGGCATTTGCTGTCACCTCTTCTGGAAAGTTCCTCCCCCAGGTCATCTGCCTAGCTTACCTCTTCTCTGGCAGGTCTCTTCATGGAACCATCCCCGATCTCTTATTTAAAAATGCACTTCCATGGAGCTGGGGCTATGACTCCGTGGTAAGCACTCGCCTAGCATATGTGAGGCCCTGGGTTCAATCCTCAGCATCACATATAAATAAATAAAATAAAGGTATTGGGTCCAACTACAACTAAAAAATAATTTTAAAAAAAAATGCACTTCCTAATCTCTTCCTGGCTTTTTCCTACTAGAATGAGCACCCCCCAGAAACACCATGCATTCTACTTGTTCATTTAATTCCATTTGCCCTCTCTTTGGTTCACTGCTGGGCCCCTAGAACCTAGAACTCTAACTGGCTCAGGCTAAATTTTTGTACAAATGTCCTGCGTGCTCTGATGTTGGATCCAACTGCTGGTGATTAACAGCACTTTAGGGGCAAACGCCAACCCCAGTCAGGGTGCTCCCTGTTGTGGATGTTGCCAAATCTTGTTGGATCCGGTAGCAGGAGAGTGAGTCATTCAGCAAACTTGTCAGCCTTACAAACACACATCTTGGAACAGCTGCCCACTTGTCACGACTGTAGCAGGTAGAAGGCTGTCACTGCGTGGCCCTCTCTGCAATTCCTACCACTCAGAATCCCCAGGGTACAAGCCAAGCAAATGGTTTGTACTATGGTTTGGAAGTAGTTTGTGTCCCCCAAAAGTTCATGTGCTGGAAGCTTGGTCCCTAGCATAATGCTGTTGAGGTGGCACTTAGAGAGGTACAGTCTAGCCGGTGGTAATACAGCCATAAGCACCTCTTTCACAAATGGATTAATGCTGTTTCTTGGGAATTCAAGGTCATGTGAGACTAGGTTACCACTGCAAAAGAGGGTCTCAGCTTGATGTAGCCACCAGGTACCCCCATCATAATTGTACCATATAAGCTTCTCCCCTAGTCAATAAGATTCTTACAAAGAATGTCAACAGGATTTATGCAGAATTCATTGTGGTTTGAAGCTTCCTCTCCCTTGTAAATGACAGGTTTGCACCCAAAAGATGTGACAGACTGTCTCAAGAGAGCTTGCTGTGCAAAAGTTACTGTATTCCTTGGTAAAAACTTGTGAAACCTGTCTGATCTAAAATATGGGACAAAGTGTAGCTGTTACATACCCACCCTCATGTAACCACCCCACTGAGTATAAATCTGAGAGAATTTCCAGACCCCAAGGTCCAGAAATTTTAGACATTAGCCCCTTTGGACCATTGTAGATTAAATAAATCTGATTCCTGAAAATTCCACAGGTGTCCAGCTTTATCTGTCCTAACTCAAGCTCATTGTCCTGCTTCCTGTCTTACCATGTGATCCATTCTACATGCAATCCTGCCATGGTGCTACCATCTGTCATGAGGCCCTCCACAAAGCTAATCAGATGCCAATGACAAAACCTTGAATCTCCAGATCTCAACTAAATAAACCTCTTTTTATAAAGACTTGGGTATTTTGTTATAGTAACAAAATAGGCTAAGAAAATTCACAATGGAGGGTCAGAGGCACTTTTCCCTAGAGGCAGCTCTGCCCTCTCCAACCCTGGCTGAACATGTATCGCTAAAATGTGCACATGGATATCTAAACTATATATTATAGGTTGAGTCACATGAAATGAAAACTTCAGCAATAATCAAAATCATGTGGTTCAACTTAATATATCTAAGACTAGGGCAAAACAGAGAGGTTGGGAATATAGCTCAGTTGGCAGAGTGCTTGCCTAGCATGCCCAAGGCCTGAGTTCAACCCCTAGCACCATATGAAAAAAAGAAAAGACTGTGCTAATCCATACACAATAAAAAAAAATGAAGTGAGTTAAAAACTGTGTGGGGGCTATGGTTGTGGCTCAGTGGTAGAGTGCTTGCCTAGCATGTGTGAAGCACTGGGTTCGATCCTCAGCACCACATAAAAATAAATAGAATAAAGGTATTGTGTCTACCTATGATGAAAAAATTTTTTAAATGAACTATGTACAAATAAGCACTCAACATCACAAAATATAAAAACCCTATCATCTCACACTCATTAGAATAACTATTATTTTAAAAATAAAACAAAAACAACAGGTGCTGACAAACATGTAGAGAAATGAAACCCTATTGGGTGAGAATGTAAAATGGCTCAGCCACTGAATTAAAAAATTACCACAAGATTCAGCAATTTCCCTACTGGGTGTATGTCCAAAAAAACTTAAGAGGATAGCAAAGGGACATTTACACACTCATGTTTACAGCTGGCATTTTCACAATAATAGCCAAGAGTGATAAACAACCCAAGTGTTGCTCACAGACAGATAAATGGATTAACATGCTATGTGCAAATTATTCAACCTTAGAAATTCTGATGTGTGCTATAACATGGATAAACCTTTTCTTTGAGTATATTATGCTAAGTGAAATAATCCAGTGACAAAGACAAATATTGTATGATTCCCCTTATGAGAAATATCTAGTCAAATTCAGAGAAACAGAATGTAGGGTGGTGGTTGCCAGAGGTTGTGGGGGTAGGAATGGGAGTAACTACTTAATGGGGAGACTTTGTTTTGCAACAGGAAAAAAGTTCTGGAGATCTATTGCACAAAAATGTGTATGTATTTAACACTATTTAACTGTACACTTAAAAATGATTAAGATAGTAAATTTTAAGTATGTTTTATCAATTAAAAATATTTTAAAGTACATAGTTTCAGTGAGATATTAAACTTGTGCTCTAAACAGGGCAGCTATAAAATAAAAATTGTAAGTTCTTTTTTTTTTTTTTAAAGAGAGAAAGAGAGAGAATTTTATTAATATTTATTTTTTAGTTTTCGGCAGACACAACATCTTTGTTTGTATGTGGTGCTGAGGATCGAACCCGGGCTGCACGCATGCCAGGCGAGCATGCTACCGCTTGAGCCACATCCCCAGCCCCTAAAAATTGTAAGTTCTTTAGCTCTAAAAATTTTCTGCTACATTCCAGTGCATCATCTTGAAAGATGTCCTTGAGACCAAGCACCCAGCAAAGTCTAGTGCCCACCCCAAATCCCCAACCACCCTAGGTTGAGAATTGATGGAAAGAACCATTTCACCCACTTTTCTAATTGTGTTTTATTCTAGAACAAATGGTTCTACAACAAAACAATTTTCAACAATACATTTTCCCACTATAATAGCTCCATTTTCCTTCAATCCACGAACCAATTTAAAATGCTACTTAGCTGTGTGTTTAGCAAGGTTTTAAAAGAATTCAGATGTCAGTCCTAGAGGTGGCTGGCCAGCTTCCTCCTCTGCTGATAGGGAGGAGCTGGTGACCACACAGTCTCTGACCTGGGTTTGTGCAGTGGAGCCTCGGCTGACGAGTGGGTGGTGTGGTTTCAGTAGTGTCCCTCCCTCCCTGACCCTGTGTTGCCTTGCTCTGTCATCACTTCCTGCACACAGTGATAGGATGCTGACAAGAAGCCAGCAATTGGTCGCCATAGACAAGATACACTGAAGCTCCATGCCCTGCCCTCATCCCAGCCTGCATGGGCCCAGGCCCCACCTGCTGGAACAGGCAAGCAAAGACAGCTCTCTCTGAGCCACTACTGTTCCATCTAGGACTCAGTGTCTGGGCATTGTCCTGAATGAACAGTAAGTAGCCCATTCACTCAGGACATGTGCAAGGCACCTAACAATGAATCCTCCTAACCACCTGTAGGCTTTATCACTCTGCCCATTTTACAGACGAGGAAACAGGCTCAAGGGTAAAGTCACAGGCTTGTCTGAAGTCTCAAAGCTAAGTGGCAGTAAAGATGGGGACTGTAAGTGGCAATAAAGATGGAGTTTGGAGGTCTGTGTCACCTGAGCCCTTGGTTGTCCTAGTAACCCAAAATTTCCCCTCAGAAAACATTTTTATAGGAATTAACCCCCCTCCCAAATCACAGTGTAACTGTTAATTATAAAACTGAAAGGCACCAGGTACAGGGACACTGTATAGCTGCCATACCTGCCCCAGCAACTATGTAGACTGTTTCCAAGGCTGGCACTTGCTCTATGTAAGGGCAGACACAACTCCTCAGGGGGGTTGGGGGTGGGGGCAAAATTAAACCATACTGTTTCTCAGGCTTTGTGTAAACGAGCCTAGTGCTGGATGGGCAAAGAATTCCTGATTTGGGATAATAAATAAATATGCCAGTTCTTATCCAAAGCTTCTCTGCTCTCCCTTGTGAGCTGTGACCTGTGATTCTGATATCACGCTTGTGAAGGGGCCAAGGGAGGCTGTGGGCTCTCCTATTCTACTGCAGCCTAGAAGGCAGGGGACAGGCACCATGGGACATAAAACTTCTTACAATGGCTGTAACCAGGGTTCCAACTCAGAGATGAGAAGAAATGTCCCCTTTAGAGGCCTTAATTCTTTTAACTTCAGAACATATTTATTCTGAATCTGAACATGACTGTGGAGGAAGAGACAGCAACAAAAACTAAACTTTGTCACATAAATTAACTTAAGGGAACTCCAGGGACTGAACCCCATCCCCCCCACCCCACCCCCACCCCAGGGAGATGTTATCCCTGTAGCTAGCACAGCATGGTCCAGGACACATGGAGATGGAGAAGGCCAGTGACAGTCCACCTGCCATTTCCATGGAATCTATAAAGTGCCATCAGCAAAATCACAGGAGTCAGGAGAAAGAACTACCAACAGCCCTCAGGGACAGAGGGCTGTTATGTGGGCAGAGGGTATAGAGGACAAAGATCCTAGCTGCTGTGACCCTGGGACTGGTAGGCTGCATCCTGCCAGTCCTGTCCAGGATGGACAGCCCAGTGCTGCCCTGAACCCTACTTCCCACCCACCACACTCCTTTGTCTCATTCCCTTCCGTCCTGTACTCCCCCGGTGCCTCCTGTGGTGTCCTGGGCCAGGTCATCAGGCCAGTATTGGTCCTCCATATACTGCTCCATGTCAGTGCTGCTATCAGGCTCTCTGTCCTCAGGATGGGCCCAGAAGCTACTGGCTGCCTGCTGTTCCCACTGCGCCTCCACCAGCCGGTACAGCTCCATGGCTGTTGTGGCATCTTCCACGGATGAGTGCCCATGCTGGCCCACCTGTGGATGAGAGCCACTACATCAATGTATGGTGATACAGGCCTGAGAAGCAATGCCCACTCCCAGGGCTTTTTGTAGGGGCTCAAGAACACATACCCCAGAATGTGTTCAGAGAAGAGTTGGAACCTTAGCTGCCTACCACAGGCCACCTAGCTTCTCCGAGCCTGTTTTCCATGAATATAAGACATGGTAAAAAGTCTGATTCAAGTGCTATAAGACCAGATGGATAATGAATATGAAGCACAGTGGGAGCAAGAGTCACCAGACCCCTGATCAAAGGTTCTATGTCTGATAGTAGGAGAAAAGAGAGCAACCTATGGGGATACAAGGACAGAGCCAGGACTTGGGTAGGGGACAGACCTGGAAGAGATCTGGAAGAATGTGGCTATCATAGTGACACTGGGAAAGGTTGTAGAAACACGAGGACAGCCTGTGTAAATGGGAGACCCATGCTTCATGCAACATGACCTGGACCAGAGAAGGAAGAATGGCAAGGTACCCCTGTGGCCTAGCAGGCATGGAGGCCAAGTGGGCCTTGCTCCCTTCCAACCACCCCTGTACCACACACCTGGATCTTCTTATGCAGCAACTGCAGGGCCAGGTCCTTAAGAGAGACTCTGGCTCGGGTGTGGAGGTCAGGCTGACTGAGCAGGTTTGGGACATAAGTGGTATCCCGAGTCTGGCTCCGAGGGTGGACGTACTTGAGGGCCTGGAAGTCATTGTGCAGCGCGTGGCCCACTACCACCTTGCCCTTCAGGAGCTTAAGGATCTGTAAATGGAGAGAGGAGGCATGAAGGCCCCATTGTCAGACTAGTAGCAGACATACCCTGGAGGGCCCTCAACAACATGTGCATGGTCCGCAGGGAGGCAGTACAGAAGAGGGAGACCATGCACCCTACAGTCAACCATGCTACCCCAAGTTTGAAACCAGGCCCTTCTTCTGAGTAAATTAGTGGTACACTTCAGTTCTCTGCACTGTACAAGGGGAACACTACCAATAGCATTCCATGGGGTGGTTGTCAGGATTATGGGGAGTCATGGAGGGGTCAAGTCTTCTAGTCTCCAAATACAAGCAACTCTTCACTGCTGGCACAGGCTTTGCTCTCCGCCTAAAGACTTCACCATCAGCCTTCTCACCCCACCTGGCTCCTCCCCAACTTCTCTCAGGCTGTAAATCTCAGCTTCAATGCCGTCCTCAGGAGGCCTTCCCATGATTTCCCACTACCACTATTCTCTCCTTCAGGGGACACATTTTCTAATCACATATTTACCTCTCAAGATGATCTAACCACCTCTTTCTCCCTGTAATTCCCAGGAGTACAGGGACCCTACTTGATTTGACTAATAATGCTTTGATGAAAGCATTCCATTTATTTATTATTAATTATTGATCAATAAAGACCTGTTATTTGGCAGGGTGTGGTGGCACATGCTTGTAATCCCAGCAGCTTCGAAGGCTGAGGCAGGAGGATCATGATGTTTAAAGCCAGTCTCAGCAATAAGTGAGGCACTAAACAATTCAGTAAGACCCCTGTCTCTAAATAGAATACAAAATAGGGCATGGGCTGTGGCTCAGTGGTCAAGTGCCCGAGTTCAATCCCTGGTACCCAAAACAACAACAAAAACAAAAATACCATTATTTGGGTGAATTCAACATAACAGTATCTCGCACAAGCAGACATACCATAAATGGAAACTCTTGTGAGTATTAAAGGACATAGTTCTTTTTTTCAGGATATTGTCACCTTGCCTCTCTGTGCACTAACTCTTCCTTCTCACCCTCTACACCTGCTTTTCTTTGCAGCTCTGGCTGCCTGCAAAGGGAAGAGTGTGCTTCTTTCCTCCCTGGTCAAAAATCTCCTCACACCCAGGGAGGCTGTGTCCAGGGTCATGGGCCTGGGCTCTCCTTATCACCAGCTGCTTGTCTCCCAAGGTCTAACTCTGCTGGCAATTCATGGTTTACTACTCTCGTGGCAGATGGGTAAGACACACTTAAGACTTTATGGTGGGGTGCATTACCACACTAGTCTCACACCATAACCTCCACCCAACCACCAGTCATAAAATGAGATCAAGCCCACCCCAGGCTAGCTCAGTCTGGACAGAAAGTGGTTCTGCTTCTGAGTAAATGGAAGGGACCAAGGAGCTAGAAGGCTCATCACAGGTCTACCTTCCTTTTTTATTTTTAAAGTACTGGGAACTGAACCCATAGGAGTTTTACGCTGGCTACATCCCCAACCCTTTTTATTTATTTTGAGACAGGGTCTCACTAAGTTGCTGAGGATCTCATAAAGTTACTTAAGTTAGCTCAAATTTGGAATTCTCATTCCTTAGCCTCCCAAGTCACTGGGATTACAGGTTTGTGCCACCACCCATGGCCATAAATCTACCTTCCTACTGCTTCTATTCCTGCTCCACCTGATTGATAAATAATAATCTTTTCAAAGAAACATTTAGACCATAGATGTATGGAAAAGGAAGACAAAGATGAAGTATACCAATATCTTCCAAACCTGCCTAATTCAAATAACCCAGAATCATTAAATAGCAGTTGTAATGCTTGTTTTAAAAATGCAAATTTATTCTTTTTGGGGAGATACCAGGGATTGAACTCAGGGGCACTCGACTACCAAGCCACATCCCCAGCCCTATTTGTATTTTATTTAGAGACAGGGTCTCACTGAGTTGCTTAGTGCCTCACTTTTGCTGAGGCTGGCTTTGAATTCGAAATCCTCCTGCCCCAGCTTCCCAAGCTGCTGGGATTATAGGTGTGTGCCACCTTGCCCAGCCTAAATTTGTTCTTATATTAGATCAATCTATCTACCAAATATATCAATTATATTACTGATGTAATAGAGCACAGCTTAAGAATGTGAATTTCACCTTGGCTTATGCATAATTTTATCCTTGAGAAACACTAAATAAAAGCAGGAAAAACTAGCCAGCTGAACTGGGATCAGTATAAAGGCACAATATATGCAAACCTCAAATAGCTATCAGCAACTTTGTTCACTTGTGTGATGTCCCATACCTCTTCACATCTATTTCTATTTGTACCAGTTTTTTTGTGTGTATGTGCATGGTATTGCAGCCTGAACCCAGGGGTGCTCTACCACTGAGCTACACCCCTGCCCTTTTTATGAGAAAGGGTCTTGCTAAGTTGCCTAGGCTGGCTTTAAGCTTTTGATCCTACTATCTCAGCCTCCAGAGTTTCAGGGATTATGGACGTGTGCCACCAGCCTCACTTTCTTGTAGCACTTTCTGAGAAAACTCTTCTTCCACACACCAACTTACAAATAACCCAAACAGCAACCCTCCTGACACCTGTTTCCATAAGCAAACTTCAGGTCTCTGTCAAGATAAAGTGCCCAACTTATTGGTGCATTATGCATTTCTTAACCATTTAACATGTGCAAAACTGTGTTATCATTTATTATTAGATTATTATATTTCTGTGATATTGCTGACCAGTTCTTTTGAATATTGTATACCAACACCATTTCCCCAGAGATGCTATGATTTTTACGACACAGGTTTCCTTAGTATGATTGTTTGTAGAAATGCACATTGGAGCCCTCCCTAGATTTGAGACATCCTAAATCAGAATCTTCATGGAGGAACCAGGTGGCAAGGATCTAGATTGTTAATAAGGCTTTAGCTATTTCCTATGGTCAAAGGTATCGGATAATTCCTGTTAGAGTGGTCCCAAAACTAATCAATTTTGTTCAAAGCACTTAAAAACTAACATAAGGAAGTATGTCAGAATAGCAACACCTAAGGCAATAGAACTGCGGGCCTTGATAATTTTACACAGGAACATAGCACTCTCATAACAGAATTCAAGAAAGGTACAGTGGTGCACACCTAAAATTCTAGTGACTTGGGAGGTTGTGGCCAGAGGATAGCAAGGGTGAGGCCAGCCTGGGCAACCTAGAGAGACCTGTCTCGAAATAAAAAATAGAAAAGGGCTGGAAGTACAGCTTAGTGGTAGAGCACCTCTGGATTCAATCTCTAATACCAAATAAATAAACAAATAAAGATAACAGCAAAATTCAACATGGAAGTTGCTTATGTCGCCACCATCCCCACAGCCCTCCCACAAACACCAACCCCCAATCCTTTCTGGAGGCAGAGTCAGAATTTTTCACTTACCCTATTCAATGGAAAAGGAACCTACTATTTGGAAAAGTGAGGTGATTTTTTCAAGGTCTCTCACAACCAGAGGCAAGGTGGTAACTCAAAGTCAGGGCTGCTCTGCCCAACACTTTGCATAGACCCACAAACCCCCAACCCTGTCCTCACCTCTTTCTGGGCCACCTGGAAGGGGATGGCCTTGCGCATGTGCTGCCGAGTGATGCCGCTCCAGCGAGTGCGGTAGTCAACGATGGGCATCTCAGGCCGAATGTACTTGTCATAGAGGACGTCACCATGGTAACTCACCACAGAGCAGCGGGCCAGCTCACTCACCCGCCCTCGGGGTCCTGTGCCCACCATCTCACAGTCAATAGCTACACACTTGCTGGGCAAGGGCCCTGAAGCTTCCCTGGAGGTGGGCCTTTTGCTATATGGGCCACCACTGCCAAATTCAGCCCTGGGATGCTGCCTCCCACTGCCAGCAGCTTCAGCGCCTGACAGCACCTCCAATGGGGCAGGCAGCAGGGAGGAGCCTTGTTCCGGTGGCATGGTCAGCAGTCCCTGTTCCTGTAGCAAGGCCTTCCGGGCCATGAAGCGTTGGTGCTGTCGGCTCCTCCTCTTGTGCCTTCTTCGAACCACATCCCTGGCACTGGGGTTGGTAAGGGACAGGCATGGGCACTGAGCAGACTCAGGGGCTTCCTCAGGTACCATGCCAGTCAGCTCCGAACTCAGGGCAAGGGAAGCCTGGGAAGCAATCTTTCAACCGGGTGGCAGCCTGGAGAACACATAAGCAGAGGAGGTGTGTGAGGAGTGTACCACGCAGTTCTTCCTCTACCCTGCAGTGCTGCATAGCTGGGCTGCCCTAGAGTGGAGAGCTCAAGGCACCTCATCAAGTCCAGGACCTACTTTATTAAAAACTGTACTCTTACGTAAACAAATACCAGGTGCAAATCACTGCTCTAAGTACTGCATGGACTCGCTCCATCTCTCCAATGACTGGGCAAAGTATTATTACCCTTGTTTTATAAGAAAAAAAAAAAAACCTGAAGCATAAAGGCTAAGGAATTTAGAAAGACATACAGGCTAATGAGAATCCCAAACCTATATTCTCAACCTCAAGCCACAGCTCACCTCCATATTATTTTACCCAAGAATTTTAGAGGTCCAGTTATAGGGAAATAAAATTCATAAAAAAAGTATTCAAGTTGAGCATCCCTAATGCAAAATCCAAAATCTGAAACTTTTTGATCACTGACAATTATACTGTGAACAAGGCACAACAGGATTTAACCTCGATCTTTATAAAACTGTATATAGCATATATACAGCAGGGGCTCAATAGCTATCTGCTTCCTTCTTCCCAGAGAAGCTAAGATTCTAGCCCATGGTTGATAACCAGATATTCTCAGGTCAGTTTCTCTGCCTGTACTCACTGCCTTTCCTATGCCTCCCTCTGACCATTTTACACCCAGCTGCTGCATTACCCAGAAGCCCTTATCCCACATGTCACACTAAGACTTTCCGGGTCCCAATGGTGCCAGGTGCTGGGCAGTGTTATAAAGATGGTCCTAGACTCTGAGGAATCTAGTCTCACCAGAGCAAGGGAAATGAAGTAGACAGTGTGTTAAGGGCTGGATTAGAGGCACTGGAACGAAGGCTGAGACAATAGGCAGAAGGAGGATTCATGGATGGCTTCCTGGAAGAGGTTATATCTATGTGATGAACAGTAGTAACCCTCCAAGTAGAAGGGAGAGGATTAAGTGGAGGGCAAAGGCTTGACAATGGAGTAGCCCACAGGTGAGGTTGAGGGACCCACCAGCCACTTGATGCCACTGGAGTGTAAAGCATAAATGGTGGTAGCTGAGTGCACTACTCCATTTTACCACTTTATCTTCTGCCTCCAACTTTGGTGGCCCTTCCACAAAGCATCCCTACCCCAGGCTGGTGTCCCCAGGCTGTTTTCTGCTGGTTAAGGGAATGAAAGAGCCCCAGAGGCACCTAGAAAAGTTACTGAAATGTTGCTCAGTATCCCTGACCCACAGCATTAACTGTCTAGTTGAGGAGCAAAAAAATTCACCCTGTGCCCTGTGCTGGCTGCATGGGGAAATTATTTTACTCCTCAGTAAGTTACATGGTGTAACTCAGGGCTCTCTGAAGGTAGGGACAGAGCTCTGTTTGTCTCTGTCCCTTTTCTAACAAGTCAGCCTAAAACCTGGATTGTTATAGGCCACCATCTTCAGAAGCTTCCTTGAAGGAAACTCAAGCTGGGCCTACTATTAGCCAGACTGTGGGGACTAGAAAGCTGGAGGTGACTAAGTTCCCTAGGACACAATCACCTCTAGGGAATTCGTGGCTTGGTAGGGATAGAGAGAGTTCAAAAGTTATAAGGGCATGCTCAGGATGGAAGTGATGGTTGCAAAGGAAGGGTACCTGGTAGCTTAGGCAAGCACAAAACAAGCAGAAGACCTGGAGTAGGGAATGCCTGGCAGTGGAGGGGACACTCTGCAGTGTTTTAGACAAGTCATCCAGGGAACTCAGGAATAAAAGGACATTCAGAAAGAGAAATCACAGGCACAAAGCCCAGAGCCAAAAGCACACCCACTGAGGGAGGGCAAAGGGTTCAGTGCAACAACTAAAAAGCCAGGAGGTAGACAGCCAGGAGAAAAGTGAGTGGGGATGGCAAGAAAACTGTTCCTGGAGAGTGAGTACAAGTTTGGGCTTAATAAAAAATTGATGGGGAAACACTGAGGGTTTTAGGGAGAGGGTGAAAGAAATACACCTGCCTTACAGGAAAAAAAGCCTGGATTTGATTAAGAGCAAAGGTTTAAAGAAATGGGAAGGGGGCAGGAAGTGAAGTGCCAAGTTTGCTGATGCCTGCATTTGCATGAGGATTCCTGGCACCTAAGCCAGTGCGAGGCTTGATGACCCCATCCTGACTCATCTATCCTCAGCTGTTCATGGCTTCCACAAGAAGCGCTCTCCTTTTAAAAAAAGGCTTTTAACTGTAAGCAACTCCCTCATACTGACAAAACACACCTTAGAATTCAGAACCTCAATTTGCCTTAGCCTGGCAATGCAAGAAAACCTGGCCCAATGAGACCTACACCAGTAATTGACTTCTGGGTGGAAGTGAGGAGCTTTCCCCTCCTCTACTTGGGGTTGAAAGCTCTGTGGGTCAGGAGCTGAGACCGTGGTTAGAGTAGCTTTCTTGATCCTGCTGGCAAGGTTTTAAAGAAGTCAAAATTCGATTCCCTAAGAAAAGGTCTCTATGGCCTTGTTCCAAGAGAAAACAACAGTCCTTTTCCATATATCCTGGTCTTGATGACATGTCACAACCAACAATCATCATGGGCACATCTTGGGACCCCAGATGTTTATAGCTGGGGATAAGTTTCGCTCAAATGGCACAATCCTTCAGCAAAGACAAATACAAATTCGTTTTCCAGCCTGGATCCAGGGCTCTGATGTCAGCTCAGACACGTGGCCCTCGGATTAGGAGTCCCACGTCTAAGGGAAGGGCCTCAGCGCAGAGTCCTCTTAGTACAGGCCCCATAGGAACCACAGAGTCAGAATCATCAGCGGGCAGATCAGGAAGGAGCGAGCAGTCCTAGACCCTGCCTTGGGTCTAGGACTACATGACCTCGGGCAAACCCAGGGCTTCTTACTAGGTTAAGGCTTCGGAAAGACAGTTAATTACTCGAAACATGAGGTTTGTTACGCTGCGATTCTCAGGCCTATTCCCACCCAGTCTGAACTGCCCTTTGGCGACCAGGGACCGAGAATCTGTTTTTTAAAACCGCCTGACCCCACCCCCAAGCTATGATTCCCCAAATCGCCAAATATGAGAAAGCCTGGCTCACTAAGGTTCCCCGCATTACTACAAACTTCTGGGGATCAAGAAAAACAAGGCGAAAGAAACACCACACGACCTCGCCGTCCGCTGGGCGTTCTCCGCGGCAAGACGCGAGGGAGGCCCGGCCATACCGGGAAGGGCTCGGGGGTTAGGCACTTACTGGCCGCCGCGTCCAGGCCGAGTCGGGATGAGGGAGGCGGTACCCAGGCCCGGCCCCCGTACCTGCCCGCCCGAAGCTTGTGGTCGGCGGAGGCTAGGCGCCCCTACCCCACCGCGACCGCCAGCGGCCCTGGACACGCCGCGCCAGCCCGCCCGAACCGGCAACGCTGATCAGGGTCCTAGTGCTCACCTGAAACCGCGGACGTCTCTTCCGGCGAGCACGTGGCGCCCAGGCAGCTGGCAGCTCCCGCATGCCCGGGCAAGCCCGGCTACGGCTGCCCGCCCATTGGCTCGCTGGAAGCAGCGCCCGCCTAAGACCTCTTCTGATTGGTTGAGCCTGCCCAGATGCGGTAGGTGTTCGGAGTCGAAGGGCGGGAGCTCGCGGAGAGGGCGTGTCCGAGCCGCCGGGTGGGAGGGCAGATTTAAAGAGAACCCGGCAGACCGTGCATCAGCTCCCGGTTCCAACTCGCCTTGCTGCTAGAGTGGAGATGGTGTTTGTGAGCCAGCTTCGTTCCACCCAAGGCCGAGTAAATTACAGTGTACACCCACATCTGCAGAATGAGAGCAGCAGTCATTGCCTCCTCCAGAATTACGGAGATTGAGTGAGATCATAAAAGTACACCGATGAGCTCCATTTACTTCCTGTGCACTACTTTTTCATTTATTCTTTTGTAATTTCACTCGTGTAGGGAAGACTTAAATTTACTCTTTTCCTTCTGTAGCTTCAGTAAGTATACGTGTGGAATAAACTGAAAATAGGTACAACAGGAAGAACCTACAAGTCGTATTTTTTGCTTGAGACAGGGAAGCCTGAAAATACAAGATGACTGAACCCTATGTGGCGCTCCTATGGATGAGGGTTTGTGCTCCAGGGGGAAGGAAGGTGGTATGAAAGTTTCGCTGGAGGAAAGATGTGCACAGCAAGCAACTATTTTCCTGTTATGCAGAAAAACTGGTTAGAGCCACCAGTTCCTGCTTAACCCCTACCCCTTCCCTTGCCCCAGTCTTCCTGTGGAAACATCCCTCCTAGGTAGAAAGTGGAATATCCGATAGGAATGCCTCTGTCTGAATATCTTGTTTACTAATATTGATAAATGTAAATTTCTTTTACAAAAGGATGGCTTTTCAAATATTCATGTGACAGAATTGGGGTGATTGTGGAAATTTGAAAAGATTCTCTCATACAATGAAATGCTGTATGTTTATTTTGATCTTGTCTACCACTAATAATTGCAATACATCTCAATCTGGAAGGGAAAAAAATGAACATCGAACCTTATGTTCACAAAGTTTTTTTCAGTTAGCAAATTTAAATTTATTGACACAATTTTGTGGGAGAAATGAGTGGATGCATCATAAAATATTGCCAAGCATGAAAATATATTATGGTTGGATTAAACTTCATAACAGAAGTCCAATGTAAATTCAAGGAGAAAAAAAGCATGTTGCATCTAATGTCAAGTCAGAAACAAATCCAGATTTATTTGAAAGTATTATTTTGGGAATGGAATGGGGAATGGTGAGCTGAGCACTCTGGCCATGATCTCTCCATGTTCCCAAGGATTAGACAAAAAGCATTTCTTTTTTTTAGGGAAGTGTAAACAAAAGCTAGAAATGGGATGAATAGAAGTGACATGATGGGATAGTAGACAGGAGAATGTTTTATTTGGGGACCATACTATTCTTAGGAGGCTGTTAAGGAGGGATTGTATAGTGGTTTAGGCTGAGAGAGGGCCAAAATTGGGGGAACATGGGAAAGGGAGAGAGTCAAAAGCTTAATTAAAGTTTAGTCATCCATATTGTTTCAGTTATTCAGTGGGCCAAGCAGTTCATGAGATCACTGATGAAGTCAAGAATGGGACCCCAGGCACTCAGAAAATAGGAGGAGTGCAAGTTCAAGACCAGCCTGGGCAACTTAGATCCTGTTTCAAAATAAAATAGGACTTGAAATGTGCTCAGCATCATCAGAGGCCACAGTGGGGAATCCATGAGTTTTATCTTAGTTGGAGAAGGGTGTTTCTTTGTAGTAATTCATTGCTAACACAAAAGGGTGAGGGGTGGGTTTCTTAACCATTGCTGTTTTTGAGGAGCACAGGTGCTTTGAGTAAAATTAACATTGTCAGTAAGAACAGTTATTTCATATACTTTAAAAAAGGATAATGTTAGTATATGTGCAAAACCAGGGCTGCAAAGGCCCCAATGTATGATTTTTGATCACAAAGAAAGAACTTCTGGACATTTTATTACTTATGTGCTCTTTGGAAGTAGCAGGCCTGGATACAATGGAGGACTGCACATACAAGCAGGAGAATATATCTACAAGAGAGATTGCATGCCTACTGCACGCATGGGTTTCTTCGTATGTTTTATGAGTATGTGACTCTGTTTCACAACCAAGATCATTCTGCTTCGATCCCCACCTAAAGACTGGAGATGAGGGAAATGGTCAGCTTCCTTCCTTCTTGCCCCTCACAACACATTCTTGGAGGTCCTTCTTAGTTCACCTTCAGAAACAACAAACCTTCTTGGCACTGACTAGTGTTTACCCCAACGGTATCAAATCACTACCTAATTTAGAGGTGGTTGCATTCCTTTGATGTATTTCTTAAGAGGTCAATATTTAACTGGGTGTGGTGGCACATGCCTATGATCCCAGCCACTCAGAAAATAGGAGGAGTGCAAGTTCAAGACCAGCCTGGGCAACTTAGATCCTTTCTCAAAATAAAATAGGACTGGGAATACGGTTCCTGGGTTCAATTCCCAGTGCCGCAAATAATAATAATAATAATGACACCTTCATAACTACTCAGTTATGATAATAATATTATCAAGCAAAAAGTTTGAAGCCCCAGGTGTTCAATAAGGATGTTATCTTGACTGTGGATGGCAGTGCTCCTAGTCCTGCTTCCTTAGGAAAACCACTGATCTCAACTGCCCACTCCTGTACTGGAAATATCCCTTCCTTCCACTGCTCTAGGGACCTTACAATCTGGAAGCACTTGAGAGGTAAGACTTGATTTGTTTACTTATAAAACATTATGCATGGGCTGGGGCTGTGGCTCAAGTGGTAGCGCGCTCGCCTGTCATGCGTGCGGCCCGGGTTCGATCCTCAGCACCACATACAAACAAAGATGTTGTGTCCGCCGAGAACTAAATAAATAAATATTTAAAAAAATAAAATAAAACATTATGCATGAACTGCTATTCTTGCTGCTATGTATACCTATTGTGAGAATATTCTGGGCACTGTGGGGATCCCCATGGTGCTGAACCAAATGCAGACCTGAAATTAGTTGTTGATCTGGTCTGGGGGCTTTTTTGTTTGTTTTTGATTTTTTAAATTTCTTTTTAAAAAATTATTCATTTATTCTAATTTGTTATCCATGACAGCAGAATGCATTTTGATTCATAGTATACAAACAGAGCACAATTTTTCATTTCTCTGGTTGTACAGAAAGTAGAGTCACACCATTCTTGTCTTCATACATATACCTAGTGGTCTGGTTTTTTAGAGCAACAGTTTTCTAAGTGTGGTCCTAAACCAACAGCATAGGCTTGACATGGGAATTTGTTGGAAAATCAGGAGGTGGGGCCTAGCAATCTGTCTTTGATCAATCTAACAGCTGATCCTGATGCAGGGCTGTGTTTAAGATCATTGTGTTAGCCAGGCATGGTGGCACACACCTGTAATGCCAGTGACTCAGGAGGCTGGGGCAGGAAGATTGCAAGTTCTTGAGGCCAGCCTGGGCAACTTAGAGAGACCCTATCTCAAAAAATAAGAAGGGCTGTGGATGTGGCTCAGTGGTAGAGCATCTCTGAGTTTAATCCTTAATATCTTCCCCACCCAAAAAGAAAGAAAAAGATCCTTTGTGTTACAGGGTATGAAGCTGACTAAACTCTGGGAGCTAAATGTAAATCACTCATTTTATCCAAGCAATTTCCCCTCTCTTAGCTCTCTTGACCCAACAGTGGCCAGATTTTGGACATAAACTGTCAACAAAACAATTGTGCCACTTTTATACACTCAACTCTTGAAAAGTCTCAAGATTCTTAGACCCAGGTGAATCTCGAATTGTTAATTTTTTAATGGAAATCGGACAGATTCAACCCAGGGAAATTTATATGCTAGTTTCTCCGCATATAAAAATTACTCCTTCAATCAGTGGTCCTCAGTCTCAACTGAACATGAGGAACTTTAAAAATTACTGGAGCTCGGGTCACACCCCAAGGTTCTGATTTAATCAGTTTGGGGTGGAGCCTGAACAGGGAAATTTTCAAAGCTGGTCTGTTCTGTTGCATTGCTGACAGAACTGCGACTAAAGAAGTTACCTAGAGAATCCAGCAGAGGGCGTCACGTCCATGCTTATCCGGGAAACCTGATAGCTGCAGTAAAGGACCAGGCTGCCGCATCGCTGCGGTTAAGGCTAGAAATTCCTGCCCTGACCCTGGCGTCCCCCGACCCTTTTGTGTTCTGGGACTCCTAGAAAGTTACTTTGCTGAATGACTGAGAGGCAAGTCGTGACCTCTCTAGTCCTTGATTTCTGTGTTTTTAAGATGGGAAGGGATTTGGCCTCCCTTCCTTCTTTCATTGTATATTGAACACCTTGAAATGGACAAGATGCTGATTTGAGGAAGGGAAGCATCAACACTGAAATGGATAAAACTCCTACATAAGAAGGGAGACTAGTAGTGAGATGGTAGTTTCCATCTGTTCCTATTTCAGGAAAGGAGACCTGTGGTACCCAAGGATGGTAAAGACGACAACCAGGAACAATATAAAAGAGGAGGCCGAAGAGACCGAAATATGGAGACCTTGTATACCTTCATGTATTATGACACCTCATTTGCCTAATTGTCATAATGCCTAGCAAAGTGATCTAGTTCATTTTACAGTTGAAGAATTCAAGGCTCAGGGATGTTAAGTGACTGGCTTAAAATCACACAGCTGTTAAGCAGTAGTCAAAATTGAAACTGGGGTGTGTTTGACTTAACAGGGACTGTCTTATCCATCTCTCAAATTAGGAGTGTACTCCACTTCCCTCCCCAGATGTGTTAGCAAAGAAGGATTTCTTCCCCTTCCTTTCCACATCAGCCCTGGATACCAAGGGGTTCCTGGAAGAGATTCCACTCTGTTCCCTAGCTCTGCC